ACATATATATTATATATATATATTATATATAGATATATATATATTATATATATATATATATTATATATATATATATATGTATATAATACATATATATATATATATATATAATATATTTATATATATATATATTATAATATATATATATATTTATATATATACACATATATCTATATATATATATATTATATATATATATATATATATATAATATATATACAATATTATATATATATAATATTTAATATATATATATATACATATATACATACATAGTATGTATGCACAAACCTACATACACACATTCACCACTCCCACTCACACATATGCAAGGGACGCGGGCCCCCAACCCCCTGCACGGCAAACTTATCCTTACCAGATCCTCCCTCTAATATAAATAAGATTTCTGTCTTGCCCGTTAGAGATTCCCAGACGGGCGAGAGCTGCAGCCGGCGGGAGGAAAAGTGCGGACTTCCTAGTGAAGGAATTTCGGGCGAATCTGTGGTCGGTGTACCTTGACGAGGACGCGAGGCGAGCAGAGTACGTGGGAGTTGGCTGGCTTCGGATTGGACCATTTAGTAATCGAGTGCTGAGGTGTGGTGTGTTTGTTGTGTGTGTTAGAGAGAGAGAGAGAGAGTGGGTGTAGTGTGTGTGTGGTGTGGTGTGTGTGTGTGTGTGTGTGTTGTGTGTCTGTGTGTGTTTGTGTGTGTGTGTGTGTATGTATATATACATGTGTGTGTGTGTGGGTGTATGTCTCTATAATGTGTGGTGTGTGTGTGTGTGTGGCCGTGTGTGTGTGTGTGTGTTGGCGCCTCTACATACATAGAGACATATAATACATACATACATATATATATATATATAGATATATATATATATATATATATATATATACCTATATATATATATATATATGTATATATATAGATATAGGATATGTATGTATATATAATAATATATATATATATATATATATATATAGATAGACGATTATATATAGATAGATATAGATATAGAGAGAGAGAGATATATATAATCTATATACATATATAATATAATAGATATATAGATCGACGATATGAGACGATATATAGAACGAAATATAGATATATAGATAGATAGGATGAGAGATAGTAGATAGATAGATAGCGAGAGAGATCTACGATAGTATTGAGTACAGTAGCTATATATATATATATATATATCGATAAATATATAGAGATATATATAGAGTAATAGTATAATCGAATATATAGTATAGATATAGTTATACATAATCGAGATAAGATGATAAAATACTATAGATAGAGATATATAGAGATATATATACGACTATAGAGACAGATAGCGAGATATCGAGATACCGAATAGCTATATTATAGCTATATCTTATATCGATAGCTATAGCTATATCTA